GGGGGGGAAATAATCAAAACAACCAAGAAAAAAAGAAAAAGCGCTCATGACTTAATCTTCCCCCCCCCAGGAATAAGAGAAACATGACAACAAGTTGGCATCACATTTCGGCCGCCAGCCCCCGCACCCCCTACTTACATACATTCGGTACATGGTGCACGCACAGAGCGGACACAGAAAATGAGCAGGAATATGAACATCCAATAGAACATACTTGGGTCTAATGTAGACATCAACAGAAAGGAAAATCAGACATGATCCAGTACACCTGAGCCATGGCTTTCACCTTGTCCTTTTTGGAAAGAGCCGGAGTACGACGGTGGCTGGGAACGAGAAGGGGGATGCCGGGCTGTCACGTACTTTGGGTGCCCGGCGAGGGCCCAGGGTGATGGAGCCCACACAAATGTCGCTATGCCCATCCCAGCCCTGTGCAGAGACCTACGAGTAGTCTGGCTTAACTAAAAACCTTCCCAAAGTGCGATTTCGGCACATGCAGCCAGGAGCTGGAACCCTTCCGTGAGCATCCAGAGCTCTCCACACCAGGCCTCTGCTCTACACCTGCCTGCAAAGGGCAGAGCCTTTACAGGAGCTTGACAGCAAGAACAGAGAGATGCCAGTCTTCCTGCCAGCTCCGTACCTGGCAGGCAGCAGCTGCCTGCAGTTTGTCAAGAGCCTGAGCCAAAAGCTCCTCAGCAACCTCAGCACCAGGAGGTGCTCAGGGCACGTCCTGCTGAGCAGAGGGTCCCATCTGGGACGATGGGGACAAAGAAAAGCGGTAGCAAGCAGAGCTCTGTGGGAACCAGCTGTCCCTGCTGAGCAGGGAGCACGTGCAAGCCTGGACAGGGGCCGTTTCCATTTCAGATCAGCATTTCCCCAAAGGAAGATCTCTCCTGTCCCCTCACGTTGACAAAAATTGCTCTAAGCCCTTCACATGTCCTCTCACACAACCAACCCTCCATGTCCTGACCCGCTTGCTCCAAAGGGTTCAGCATTACAGAACTGCACAAGGATTGTCTGAAAAAGCCCGAATGCCTGAAGAAGTGATGCTTGGAATGAACATGCTGCCACAGATCTGGATTTCCCCACATCTCTTGGGACCAAGCACCGCTCCAGCTTGCAAAGCTCATTCACTGAGATATTCTATGAAGGTGGGGCTCAGATACTCCCCATGCAGATGCTAAGCAGCTTTAGAGACCCCCGAAACGAGGGTAAGGAATAAAGTCTCCATTGATGATGCTTAAACCATCTTTAACAAGATGCTTGATTTCAGCTGGCTGGAAGTTCCAATGAGGGACTTACCAGCCCACGAGCAAGGTGGTACCTGGGCCTCTCAGGTTCCTCCCTAGAACCATGCTCCTTCAGTGCAGCACCCAAGAGCAACATCAGAAGATGCAGAAGGGATGTGGCCCCCTCTGGCCTCCCTACGCGTGGTATCACGCTTCTAGAGGAAAAGAGACCTCAAAGGCTGTGAACTTTTAGCACTTTGAAGCCTCTCACTCTTAGCCCAGAGGCAGGGCTGTAGGTACTGCACTCCTCCAGTCTCCCCTCCGCCCAACTGAGCCCCCTAGCTCTGCCCACACAGCCCTGGCAGGACTGGCACAAGCCGATGGGATGCGCCAGGAGCTGTTTCCCAGCCTCTGCAGGGGCTGTCACGGAGCGACGCTACTCAATAGGCAAACAAGCTGTCAAGTAGCAACTAAAAGGGGAGAGGTTCTTGAAAAACCTTTGCTAGATTATTTGCAAATACGGGAACAAATCGATGGCAGCAGCTTTCAAGATCCCCAGCCTATGCTCTCATGAGCAGCACAGCATACAGCCTTCAGCATCTGCAGGCAAGGGGGAAGTCTGGGTCATGTACTTGTAGGCAAGAAAACATCAGCTCATGAAGATCCTCACCAAGTGCAGCACACTGCAGAGGGGAAGAGCTTTTCACCAGCCCAGTCACCTTCTAGGACCTGAATTCCTTCACAGTGCTACTGTGAAGACAGATTGGGGGGACTGAGCCCCAAGAGAAGGGTCCCACTGCCCCGTTCCTCCACAAGGAATCCCAAGGACAGGCTGAAGATTTTAAAGAGAATAAAGTGATTCTGACCCTCTTTCTCAAGTGAGGTTCAGATGAATAAGACCTGCTCCTTCTGGTCTAAAGGATTTCCTTTCTTCTCTCTAGGAGATGAGGATGGGATTGCAAGTTCAAGACAATGCTATCGTGTGTGGATGAGCCTAGCCTGAACACTACCCAGCAACATCAAATCCTCTTGCCTAGAGCCTGCAGCCTTCAAAAAGCAAACTATCTCAGACAGCCAAAGCAGCGATTTCCAAGAGCAGATGTTACCACAGCCAACATCCCAGTCACCCAGCTTTTTGTCCAACAGAGTCCGTGAACACACCACCATCTGATGCAATTAGGTGCCACAGTCAGGCTTCTGTCTCCAGTGTGTGCAGACATGCACACGCCTGCCTGCCTGCCCTGAGGTACAGGGGATACGTGTGAACCCATGGTCATGACCCCCGAGTGCTGGGCGGTCAGACCCCCATGAGCATGCGAGGTGCTAAGCGGCTCCAGGAAGATGCAGTGTCCGCACGGGGCCAGGCGCGGCTGGTCCCTGGGGGTGCACAGTCCTCATCTCTCTGTGCCTGTGAGTCTGGAGCAGGCGGTGGTGCGGCAGCTGGTAAGACAAAGCGTGGACTCCAAGCACGGAGGGACGCGGTGACGCAGCAGCGCAGCACACGGTGAAGGCAGAACCCATCGCGACGTCCAGAGGAGAGCCGAGGTGACCACGCCACTGTCGCCAGGAATCGTTTGCTTCCCCCGCACAGTGTTACAGATCGACAAAAGTCACTAGCGATTTTTGAATCCAAGTAAATTGGCATGGCTACTTCGGACTACTGTAACATGGGAGCAATTCTATTCAATGGCCTTTAATACATTGCATTTACATAGCACCTTTCATCCCAGGGTTTAAGTGCTTTAACGGAAGTGGGTACTGTACACCCATTAGCACAGGGGAAACCGAGGCACAGAGTGGTTTAGTGACTTGCCTTAGGTCACTCGACAAAACCGTGGCAGAGTCTGGACAGCCTTAAAGCTCCTGACTCCACCAGTTGGTTAGACCACGCTGCTGCCTCAAATGAAGCCACTCCGGTCCCTGCCCTCCCCAGCAACGTGCTCCTACCAATTCTCCAGTGAGGTCTCACACTCCCTACTGATGCAGAAATATATGACAAAAAAAAAAAAGTGCAGTAAACTAAATGTTTAAAAAAAAGCACATTTGTGCTGTCTCTGTGCAAAGATAAAAGAAATAAATACATGATTAAAAAATTAAAAAGGTTCACAGTATCACACATGGATAGGTAGCTACGGTAGTGCACGTCTGGAAAACACTGTGTTACTACCCAGGATTCTCTACACCCAGCTGGATGTCTCCGTTGGGAGCTGCGGGTGAACGGGTGGTTTCTTTGCTGCCCATATCTGGGATAAGTAGAAATACACGGTTATAGTTTTGCTCCGTTCTGAAATGCAGTGCCCGGGATCCTGCAGTGCAGCAATACTGGTGTCAGCAAGCTCTTCCCCATCCCACTGGAACGGCTGCATCAATGAAAAGGGAACACATCGACCTGCAGAGGGAATCGCTGCTCTCTGGGGCTTCTGTGTCTGCATAGAGATTACTGCAAGAGGCAGAGAAAAAAAAGAGTCAAAACCCAAGTGCCCACCCTGCCCCGTCAGGCCTGAGCCCAGCCAACTCCCCAGATCGACAGGAGCGTGAAGAGAGCAGGCTGTTCGTCTCACGTCCTCCAGTAACACCACCACGACTGGAGAACTTCAGCTCCCCAAAGCTTTTGCTGCACCAAACGATCCAGAACAAGCCACAGCCCTTGCTGAGCAGAGCAGGTCTCTGCCAGTGCAGATCTCTGCCGCCACAGAGCTGATCCAAGACGCAGCAGGGCTCTGCCGCAGCCATGCAAGAGCCCCATGCTGCACAGAGGCCACAGCGGCTCCCTCTGCAAGCTGACCTTGCACAGGGAGCGCAAGCTCCGACCTCGACCCACTGGGCACCCGGCACACGTTTCTTGTACACTTACTGTATCGCTCTCCTCATCGGAGACAGAGTGGAGTTGAGCGCTATAGTGGAGCGGGGAGTAAACCCAACTCCTCTCGTCTGTCGGCTGCCAGAGTGGCCAGAGACGGCGGGGAGAATGCAAGGAGAGCAGCAGCAGAGCAGGGAGCAAAGGAGAGAAGAGGAAAAAATAAAAGGAGAAAATAAAAAGAGCAGGAAACAATACAGTAAGAACAGCTGTCCACCTGGAGGGAGAGAACTGAGCTCAGTGCCAGCTCTCAGCAGAGGAGCCTTCCTCATCCTCAGCACATACCTGCTCCCTACCAGCTGGGACACAGGACAGCACGCCAGCAGCTGACACTGCCCCTCTTGGAGGGACAGGTTTTGAGAGCTTTTGAGATGCCAGGGAAACCTCAGCTCCCTGCCTTGGCTCCAGAGAAACTGAGAGACATAGGAAATGACTTACCCAAGGGCAGTGACGGAGCTCTCGGTTCCTGCTACCCACTCCCAGCCCTCAACCTCCCCTGAGCCCTGTGTGTGCTCCAGGCTGGCAGCTCTGCTGTCCAGGAGGGCTTTTATGGTGCAACCTGGCCTGGTCTGCTGTGCCTTCCCCCTTCCCTGCAGGCCTAGCAAGGCATTGGGCGGTGGGTTAGACCATGGTGGATGGTGGCCACAGAAAGGAAACTGTTATCGCTGAGTGTCTTGGAGACAGTGGGGTGATGGGAACAAGTAAGACAAAGGAGGCAAAACACAACTGGATCTCAGAAAGAATGAGGGGGAAGGGGATGTGCGTTGAGGGAGCTGGGCATCGGTGTGACAAAACAGGCTTCTGCTGCTGGCACAGCACAGAGGAGCCCAGGCAAATTCAAAGGCTGGTGTCTGCTTCCAGTGTTCCCAGGGGGACCCACTTCCACTGCAAACCAGCTCTTTCGGCTCCAGACGAGCTCCCAGAGAGAGGAAACTGCTCCCTCTGACTCAGCCTGGGGTTTGCAAAGGAAGAGCAATGGAACCTGGAAGAAAGGGGTTCCCAGCCTGGGAACAAAGCATAACTGTCTACGATGTAAGAGAAACTACAGAAGCCAGAGGAGCTTTGAAGCACTGGGCTCCACATGCTGAACCCCATCAATAATTGCAGCTACATTAGCAGAGACCAGTGGAAGGAAGGAAGAGAAACCCTTGCCTGGAGCTTCTTACAGGGCTCTGCTAGAGGTACAGGAAAGCTCAATGCTGCATCAAGCCTGACCCACATCCTGTTTTTCCATCCATCCTGACTGAACCACATGCTCCAGCCAGCCTCTTTCAGAGCCCTTCAGGAGCTCAGATGCACAGAGGGAGCTGCAAACCCAGCGGGCAGATAAAGGATCCGGTGCTTGGTATTAACCCTCCCGGTGCTGGGGCAGCCAAACCCAGCCAAAGGGGGCAGGAGGAGCTGCCAGGAGGGGTTACCCATTTGCCCACATAGGTGCCGCCCTTTCCTCACGCCAGCCAAGGCCAGGAGCGCATTACTGCCCCTGGTTTCCCCATGCAGGTACCAGACAGGCAGGCGCAGGGAGGGCCACGCTACACAGATGCTTGTGCCGAGGCTCTGACAGCACTGCCATTACCCTCTGAGGACATTGTCTCTCCCAGAGCCCAAGAAGGGAAAATACTAAAACCCAGAGCAGTCCAAGCTTTGGATTCAGCCCCAAAATACTCAAGTACCTCTCTGCATCTTTCAGAAAGGAAAGGAAAACTCTCACTGCTCACAGAAAACCTGCAGTGAGAAGGGAGCACACTGGTGAAGTTGAGAAGGCTGGAGAGCAGAAACCATCCCTAATCTAGTAGCAACTTCTAAGTCCTTTGGCTTCATGAGCTCCTCACCATCCCAGCCACAAGCCTAATAGGTTATATTTGTAACTGGACTTTTATCAGCCTCAAAACATCTTAAATGTCTCTTTGGAACCCTCTCTGGCTTCCTGGGCCAAGGGAGCCGAGCCCAACATCACCTACAAAGGCTCAGGTGCCTCTCTGGCCAGGTCTGGTGCTTGCAAGTTTGTTGAAGGGCTGGGTGGTACTGCAGCCTATCCCATGGCAGGAACTGTCACCAGCCTGAAGAAAAGCAGGGCAGAGCATGTGTTTCTGCAAGATCCTACAGGGAGATCTATCTGTGTGATTTCAACAGGCTTCCCTGGCTTCTGCTGGGCTGGTTCCTAATGGCTGCCCAATACAGAGCCACGGCATCCAAAGGTAACGGAATGCTGGCCCCAGTGTTTCAAAGCTGCGGCTCTGCTCCCCTACGTGCTAGCATGTTCACTTACAATCCCAGAGGAAAGCGAGGTGGTTCGGAGTCTGCGCTGGCGGGGAGAGTAAATCCAGTACCTCCCATCTGTGAACTGGATGGCCCCAGGGCAGGTGAAGTGAGGAAGGAAACAGAGGAAAAAAGGATGATGTGAAAGAGAGGATGAAAGAGAAAGCAAAAAACAAGGGGTTGGGCAACTCCAAGCCTGAAGAGATCAGCAGGCAGGAAAGCCGTGCGTGGGAAGAGCAGCGCCCATGCCCTGCCACAGTCTCTGCACTTTTATTCCCCTGGGGGTGAACAGGAGAATAAAGCGCTCTCCTTTCAGAAGCAGACTTCCAAAGATTAGACCACAGTCCCCTGGGACTTGTCAAGTCATACTCTGCACACAGCATCCCTTCACCAACCATGGCCCCCGAGCACTCCTGCAAGAGAGCAGCTGTGGTCCAAGCCCCTCTGGTGCTCCAGCTCAAGTGGTTTTCCAAGGAGAGCGCCCGTGGGAACCCAAATCAGCTTTTCCCTTCATCTCAGCAGTGACAAACACTCCACGGCACACGACACACATTTAATGCAAAACTCAAGGACTCAGATGAAGTATGAAATGCTGATGAGCAGTCAATCACGCTCTCTGAGAGCACACACTGCACACAGATGGCTTCCTCCAGATAGGTGCCCCTCAAGTTGGGGGGAGTCCATATGCCCAGGGACAGGGAGGAAGAGGAGCTGACCCCTTGCTGGAAGACATTTGCCAGTGGAGCAGGCAGTATCTGCAGGCAGCTTGCACGCAGCTGCCATCCACAGGCAAAGGGAAAGCAGCCAGTGTTAGAGGGAGCTGTTTGCACTTTGAACAGCATGCATAAAACCCCAAACAGACAAGCTTTTAAAATGGAGCCCATTCCTGCCACAGCTCCTACGAGCCTCGGAATGACTCGGCAATGAGCGAACAGCTCTGCAACAGTCACGCAAGCACAGGGAAAGGCAAACGTTGCCATTTTTAGGTTAGCCTGAAGGAGCTCATCACAAGGGGTTGGCTCATCTCATCTCCATCACCATAGGAGCAGGGAGGAGCTGAGCACCTCTTTTAGTGAGAGGGTTTCAGTGCCCAGGCATGAGGGAGAGCTGTCATGGGTCAGACCCTCAGCTCTGCTCTGGGAATCCACGGGGCAGGTGTCTGTTCCTAAATGCTCTGCAGAAGCTGCTCAGACATTTCGAGAGCTGACTGAGGAACACGGCGCCAGGCTCCACTGCACTCTGCTGTCAACCAGCAACCACCTCACTTACTCCCTGTCTCAGCTCTAGATTTCCACTGCATCACCTAACGCATCTGCCTGCAGGGAAAGGAAAAGCCAGAGTTCACCAGATCCCGAGGTCAGCCCCATTGCAACCACCTCCCTTCTGGCTCTAGGCTACTGCTGTACATTTGTGTTTAGGAAAGCAGCTGGGCTCTCTGGCTGAGGAAGGAAGAACCTCTCAGTTGCACCTGCGTTCACCTTGGCTTGTCCCAAGAGCGAACATGCTGGTCTAGATAAGCCCTTCAGCGCTTGTGCTGGGAAGAGGAGCAGCACACCTACAGCTACATCCACAGCAGCAGCACCACCCATTTAAGCCCCACTAGACGCTGTTCTGAGTTCTTCAAGAGCTAATCCAGTTCCCTGCATTCAAAAACCCATCCACTGTTAAGATCTCAAGGTGCTCAACACAAAGATGGCACGGGGCAGACACTGCCCTGCACTCGACTGCCTAAAATTGAGACTGTGATAGCCTCGTCCAGCCTTTCCCCTCGCATCCCTAATGGGCCAGGTGAGGAAGGTATCTTACAAAGTATATGTCTGTGACTGGCACATCATCTTCATCCGAGGCCTGGCTGGCTGGTTCGGAGGCCTGGCTGGCTGTCTCCACCTCTATTGTAGCTGTGGACGTTACAATGGCACAGGCTGAAGAAGCTGCCTCTCTGGAAAGGGGAAGAAATGAGACTCTAGTCACTGTGAGGAGAAAAGGAGCAAGCAAGACTGTATGGTTTATTACAGAGGAGCTGAAGATGCTCTGCTGTCACATCCAGAAAGATCAGGTCAGAAGTAACAGCACTCAGCTTCACTGACCTGTCTGGGGGAGCACCTCTCTCTCCAGGAAAGCTGGTGCCCTACAAACTCAGCCTCCAGCACAAGTTGCCACAGACTAAATGACACCAGGTGGGGGGTACTGGGTAGCAGAGCTGCCCAATGCTCTGAAACACTTACTCTTTGTCATCTTCTTCAGGAGCTACGATCTCAACATCGCACTTGGGCTCCAGCTCAACACTGAGCTGCTGAAGCTCCTCCTCAATCCGCACCTCCTCGTGTGACCTGGAAACCAAAGAAAGACAGGCCCAAAGGCTCAGTTGGGCACTAATTATGCACAGTCCTCAATTTTAGGTCAGCCTGAACCAGTCCTGAGTCAGCCCAGCCTCTCGCACCCCAACCTCCCACAGGAGCGAGCTGTGCTGGTCTGTCCCAGCACACGGCTGCCTACTGCCAGCCGCTCCCGGCATCGAGCTGTTGATTTCGGCTCAGAAAGATCCTTGAGGATTGAAGGATTTGGATAAACAAAACTCCCAGGCTAAAGAGTCAGTCCTGTCAGACTGCAGTGCTCAAGACTAACGAGGTGGGAAAAGAGGACAAGAGGAAAGGGATTAATTAGCCAGTGCTGCAGAAAAGACAGGGGGTGTCAAATGGAGTATAGGAGGAAAGAGGAGAATTGGCCTCTGAGGAAAACCTGTGTCCAGCCTTAGCCCGGCACTATCTATCAACTGCACAAGGGTCAAAGCCTGCAATCTCTTCCAAGACTCCCAGCGCACCAGAGCTGCTCTAGCATCCTCCAGGGTTATCATCAGATTTATCTGCATGCTCAGGAGCTGCCTGTGAGAGTCTTCAATTTAATATCTTGTGCTATTAAATTGCTTGTGCTAGTGGGGCTGGCTCCACAGTCCTCATGGGAAGGAGGAGCAGGTGCTTGCCAAGCCGAAGCCATGGTTTTGGAGTAGGGACAAGCTCCGGGTTCATCAGCAGTACCGTCCTGCTCTGCAGGCAGCACCCCTGTCCCGCTCAGTGCCAGGGACCTTGCTCCTCTCCTCCTTGAAGGGGTGGATCTCAGCAACCCAGAGGGAATTTCCCAGCAGATCAGAATAATCAGAGGTGTGACACGTTCTTGAGCAAATTGGATAAGGTCTTTTTCATTTCATCTCAGGAATGTAAATTCATGCTTTAATAACTTTGCTCTTGCACCAGGGGATCACAGAGTGCTCTACAAATACACAGGGCCCTGCTCCCCTGGAAAGCATGTGCTGAGACACCAGCACCAGAAACGGAGAAACTAGGCAAAAAACAGCAAAGAAGGCTGTGCTTGTGTGGGGTGGCTGTAGCTGTGGCAGATCTGTGACAGGCAGATCTACTCCTGACCAAGTCGCTAAGCTCCTTGTATGGTCCGGGCACCCCTGCTTCTAGGACACGATCCACCCAACCGATTTCTGGGTAAGCAGTTGCACCCTACAGCAGCTCCGTCCATCAGGTACCAAGGTGGTCCTGAGTAACTCCAGTGAAGTCACTGTGTGTTGCCAAATGAGTCCCACCAGTTCAAGTCTCCAATTTTCAGCCATTTCATACAACGGATTCTGTAGGAGGTGAGGTCCTTCACAGGTCCCCCATGCTTCAACAGGTGCTGCAAATCTACCTCCATGAGGCTGTCACCCTCCAGTGACAGGAATTTACCAAGATTCAGTGGCACACAACATCCAGAGGTATTTTCATTACGAAATACCACAGAAAGGGATTTTTTCATAGTGTATGTGGTCTGAAGCTCAGCATATCACTAAAAGGCAGGATCAAGGGGAAATGTCTGTAAGATGGTGCAAACCCTCATGTTTCAAAGTCCTTGCCTTCCTCTGAAGCACCACACACTGCAGGGAGAGAGGACGCCAGCCTGTCCAGCAGCTCCACTGGCTACAGCAGAAGCTGAGTCCCTGATTTGCATTTCAAAGTCTGTGCCTACAACACTTACAAGATGTCCTGGAAAGCTAGGGCAGAGTCAGCAGCACGCACAGGGGCCTCATGCAGATCCTGCTGACACAGGCAACGGGGTCATTTTTACTGGTGCAAAAATATGCAAGGTAATTATTTGATATGAGCCTCTAAATCCAGACATCCCTATGCAGTAGGGGATTTTTGTCCTACCTTGCCCTTAGCTCTGAGCCACCTATCACCCCAGGAGGGTAAAAGAAACCCTCAAAAGTACTTGAGTTTCTGAAAACACTCGAAGCTCCTTCTCTGGGGACTAGGGGGGCTCAGGACACCTCAAAGTCAAAGCCCTTTCCCTTATTCACACCCACTGCACCTGGGCGGTGGGCAGATGCACAGGGGAGGAATGTTCCTGCTGTTAAGGCTTGTTCCCCCCTGCAGAGGGGGACATAAAAAACCTTCCTTGGTTCTGGTGCTGGTTGCGTGGGTAAATTTGGACTACTCTGTTATCCCCTTTCCCATCAAATAACTGGGGTAGCATTTAAGATTTCCTGCAAAGCACAGAGATCTGCTTGTAAGGAAAATCCTGCGTAAGAAATGGGGACCATTTGATTGCAGGAACAAGCTCATCATCCTGCAGAAGACCACACCAAAATCTGGAGGCTGCCAAGATTCACATTCAGCTCCCCCAAGAGACCTTTGCACAAGGACAAACGTGAGGTCTCTGCACAGCAGCGCAAGAAGAGATGAGTCACTTTTCTCACCTGCCGTCCTGCCCCGAGGAGTGTGTGCGCCTCCTGGAGAAAGAAACCAGAATAGTAGAGTTTGAGGAGGGATTTAAGACAGAAATCCTAGACTGCCCCCAAATCTACCTCCCCACCCCATGAGGGAGATGTTCTACTTAACAGCTGACACTTCTCCCAGCAATAATTAATCCCATCAAAGCTGTGTCTGCTTGCTCCCAGGAGAGATTTAATTAAAATCGGTCATTAGCATTCCAGAGCAGAGGGCAACCTGCCGAGATCTGCGGCACGAAGAGGAACAGCAGCCGCTTGACTCCAGCGGGAGCAGGGGAAAAGTGCTGTCCTTACCTGTACCTGGGCTGCTCAGAGGTCTCTGAAGGGGATCGCTCAGGAACAGAGAGAGATGTTGAAGATAGTGTCGTGGCTATGGAGGCCGTGGTAGCTTCTTCAAAGGAAGGAGGTGTGCAGGGTAGCAGGTCTGGCCTGCCTGCTGGCCCGCAGTAGAGGGCAGGAGAGATACAGGAAGAAAATGATGAGTAGGTCAAACACCAACACCAGCCCTGTGTGAGGCTGTTCCACCATCAACCTGCACACTCTTGCTGGGACCAGTCACTTAAAACCACAAACAGGCAAGAAGTTTAGCTGGATTCATGAACACAACAGCTTCTCCCAAAGCATCCTCTAGAGAGAGCCAGCAAGCACCATTTCCAGCATGACAGACAAACGCTACAGGAAACATAATGCCAATGAAGACATCTCACTGGTAACCAAATCTGGATTAAAGGCTTGGATCGTCAGAGATAAATATCCAAGTGAATTAAGAGATGAACTGAGTGCTCACTGCTTTGCACGGGTAGAAATCTAACACCTATGCACTCCAGGAGCCTGTCCTTCACCACTTATCTGTAAATCCAGCCCAGACAGAAGCGATGAAGAGGCAGCACAGAACCAGGCCATTCGCCTTTTTCTCAGTGGCAGTATCTTGCCCTTTAACTGTTCAAACACTGTCATCAGAGTCCTGCAGTTCCCAGTCTGACCCCCTCACTTTTTTTTCTTTTTAAAGGGTAGAAGACTTAACTTTCTGGTTGCTTTTGGACTATGGCTGCTGGTGCCAGTTGGCAATGGCTGCCTTGCAGCAATGACGCAAGCAACCATTTTTACTGCAGAGGCATACTGTGCTGCAAAGAAGGGCTTCAATCTTCCTCGCTAACTGCTAGTGCTGTGACAAAACAATATACTCTTACCTTCTCCCCTGTCCTGGTTAAGTTTAGCACCTGCAAAGCACAGCAAGACATGCAATGAAGAGCTATCCATCAGGGAAGACATGTGGTTGGTGCACAGTGGGGAACTCGATGAGAACAGGGGAGGATCCTAAGGAAGTGCTAGGAAAGAGAGGGTAATCACAGAGCCATCAGCCACCAAACGAGACCATTACCTTCATCGTCAAGTGTGGGGTAACTCCTGGCCGCACGGAGATCATACTGTGTTTCATCCTTTTCAGAAGGAAGCTGGCTAGCTGAAAATGCAGCTGTTGGCCCAGCCGTCTTGACAGCTAGCAAGGCACTGCGCCCTTTCTTTGAGGGAGATGACTTCAGAGCTGGATGAGAAGAGCGAAAGACAAGATGCAATTACCACCACCAACTGCTGTCACACCAAAGGCACTCCTCCCTTCACAGGGAGAGGCCTCTCCCCTGTCACACACACACATGTGCTCTGCAAGTGCCATCTCCAAAGGGCTGAGCACAAGTCAGGCTGCAGGGGGAGCTCCTGGGTAGGAGCCTGAGCAGACCAAAGCAGGCCGTGAGCCCCAGGACTCTGCATTTCCCCAGCTTTGCTCTATATTACAGTGGAAAAGCCTGCTCAGACTCCAAGCTCTGCCTCTCCCACACCACAAGGGCAGTGGCTCCTGGACTAGGTACTTACAGGAATTCTTTCGAAACACCGTGTTGGTCATGAATTTGAAGAATCTCTCTGCGTAAAAGCTGGGTCTGTGTACTGACACCGTGTCCTACAAAGGCAAGAAGCAATTGTTTAATTTTAAAGTGATCCCTCAAGGCAGATTTTCTATAACAACCAATGCAGTCTTTTTTATTCTAACATTTAACACTGATAGAGCCTTAAGTGGAAAGGCTTAACTGAAATGATCTGATTAATGCTATAAATAAGCCTGAAGCATTGCCTTTGATTTGATTGCATTCAATTATATTCTTGCTGTAATGTTATAATGGATTTCGGTGATTTTACCCCTTTGCAGACTTCCTGGATTTTTCAAATGGCCCGATTACATACATGAAATTTCTTCTGGCTTTGCTGTCTGACATTCAAAGCGCACCAGGATACTTGTACATACGACACGGATTCAGCCAAGGGTCTCCATACATTTCAAATGTTTTACACTTCATTTAAAATAATGAAACCGAAGCTGCCTCTGAAGCTTCTGGTGTTTGACTGTGACCTGGCATCTACATATTTCCTTTGCCTTATTGTTTAAGGGAAGCTAGGATACGCAACACTGAAAAACAGTTGCACATCCAAGGTTGCTCTTTCGTAAACATGGACCTGGCTGCTGCGGGAGACAAGACAGCAGGGAAACACTCAAAGGGATTTATTAGCAGACAGCTTACTGAAGTGGAAATACAGTCAATCACCAAAGAGAGCAAATGCAGGGCTCCTCAACACACACACAAATGAATGTGTGTTGTGTGTACAGCTCCTGGTACCACGGGGAGGAAGAAAATGACAGATGGGAGCAGAGAAGGAAAGCTGGTAGCACGACAGCTAAACATGTGAGGAGGTGGAGTGAGCAAGGAGACCTGATTGGGAATAAGCAACACCACACTGCTGTGGAGGCATAAGAGGCAAGAACTATTCCTCTCATCAGCTTCAACTGTGCCAGTTCAGGCACTAAAAATAGCAAGGTAATCGGCACCAACCAGCTGAAACAAAGGCAGGCAATCCTGCCGAGGCCTGGACAATTCCTGTCTCTGTACAGGCACTCACCCCATCGTGGACAAGGGCCTTCCAGGTATGTTCTAGCTTCTTGATGAACCTAATGCCAGGGAAAAAGTAGAAAGAAAAAGAAAAACAGATTCAGGCACGTACTCTGTATCTAAGCCACCTCTCATACCCCACAAGGGAAAGATCACTGAGCTGCTAATGACTCCTCCTTCATCTGGAGTATGGCTTTCCTCCAGCCAAGAGAGGTCATCTGAGCACACCTTATCTCTGCAGTCAGGTCAGGACTGCCTGGGAACCCTACAGGGAAGGAGGAGCTGTGCTGGAAGAGGGGCAGAAAATCACCTTCCATCCCTGGAGATATGCTCCCATCCTAGGCACAGAGACGGGAAACTTCTTTATGAGCAACTCATTATATCTTAGAAAAATGGCTCTGTGTCACCAGCTGTTCTAAAGACAGGATAAAAATCCACAGCCCCTGACATGCATCGACAGATGGCTTTAGGCAGCCTACTCATTATCAGACTCTTCAGGAGGGGAAATCTTCCTGCTTTCATTCAGTATTAAAATAGATGTTAACACTCTTAAAGGACAGACGACGGCAAAGTTACCTACCTGTATGATTGAAGGATATCTATTATTCCTACATGGAGCAGGAGACGCTCTCCTTTGCCATTCACTGCTGGGATTCCTCCCATCCTGCAGGTAAAACAAAACCTCAGCAAGAGCAGCCTCAAAAAGAGAGGCTGTAATGCCTCTGCTACCGTCAGCACTGAGAAGAGGGCTCTGATGTGGTGATCAGACAATGCAAAACCTCGTGCACCACCACGGGAAATCACTACTGACCCAGGCCATCTCATACAAGGTGTCCCTGGGGTTACTGCCTGCCTGGATCGCCAAACAGCAACTATCAGGACAGGCCCTGTGTCGCATGGCAACCGCTCTGCCTGGGCCAGAAAGCACCACATCATTTTTTCTTAGCTACAGGACATCTTGTTCTGGAGATCAGATTTATCAGGTCAGTGTGAGCTGCCTGCCAGTTAGGGCAGCAAACCTTTGAGGATGAGGGTATTCCCAGTCCCATCCACACTGGTATCAGTCCTGCCAAAGGTGCAGCCACCACTAGCACCAGTGCACAACAAAAGCATGCAGGTATCAAGCAGGCCACTGTGATTAATGATGCCACTTGAAAGCATGGAAACACCAAAGCATTATCCTGGCTCCATCTTGACTATTCATCAAAAGCAGCTGGTTTCAGACAGCACTGAACAGCAAACTTCACCATTTGTTAGCAACCTTGGTTCACAGAGCCAGAAGGAGAGTCACAAGAGCCACCTGCAGCCCAAGAGCCACAGAGTGGGCACAGCACAGGTTTTGGGCAAACCCCCCAAAACCAAAACCACAGCTCCATCAGTCACTCCAGCACCTGGCTACATTGCTGTTTGCTACCTGCTCTGGGATGGCCTCAAGGATGTCAGAGATTCCCAAAATGCAGTGATGGAGAACAAACTCCAAGCTTCTAGGGACAGACTGACCCCTACTTCCACCCCAGTATTTGGATGCTGAGCTAGAGCTGACCTAGTTTTTCTCCCCAGAGCATGAGTGGATGTTTAGAGGCTGTTACTGGAGTCGACAACCTACAGACTGGCTTAAGAAGAGAGATCACTGTGAGGAGCGTGTTGATTCTGGAGTCCTACAGAAATATTTCCCACCCCAGCTTCCCCCTTTCCCACCACGCTGCTTTACTGGCAGCAGTACCCCCAGCAGAGACGCTCGCTTTAATGCATGGGCCTCAGTGAGGGATTTCCCACTCCAGCCTCCACCTCCGCCCCTCCCAGCAGTGCAAGAGAACCAGGTTTTCACCTACGTGTCGTCTGTGTCTATGGACTCTCCCCGGGTAGCCCCACCCTGGATGGACTCCATGGCCGTGGAGTAAAGTGCCTTCTGCCCCACAGGACGCTTCTCATCCGACGTGCTGTGGGCTCCCTCAGACTGCCGCTCCCGCTCTTGCTGGTCTATGTTATGAACCCCAAGCAGGAGGCTGTAGTCCATGATTTTAAAACTCTCCAAAACCTACAGGTTAGTATTGAGTTTAAGAACAAAGACAAAATATCAGGCCAGCAGCTCAAACACAGCACAGATCCCACAGCATGGAACAGCCCGTCCACGTCTCGCTAACACCTCCTTTGCCAGAGCTTGAACATTTCTGAACCAACAGACATCTCTGGACCCAATCGCATAGAGTTTAGCCATCCCACAATCAACCCAAACGGCTGAAGGCTTGCAAGTAACATTGTTGTACCACGCATCTGCTGCACACAGTGTAGGAAAAGTGTATTTAGTCCCAGCAACGTGGCTACAAGTGGAGCAGGCTGCCATAATTTGGTGCAGCAGGCAAAGGAATGCAGCCTTAGTTCTCAAAGGCTGCCACAAGATCCAACTCTGCTGCTTTGCTCTCAGGAAAAAGGGCCGTAAGAAGGGATTTATCCTGTGCCAGGGTTAGCAGGTTAGCAAGGTTCTCAACCGTTTGCTCCTCCTCATGCTCGAGAGCTACAGAACTCCCTTAACCTGCTCCCCATGCTCCCTCCTTCCTTACCAGACAGTCTCGCTGCAACGTTTTCACCAATGCACTGAAGGTGTCTGCATCCAACATCAGGCCCTCGGGCATGTCTTGGATGAAGTCTAGGTCCTTGTACGTAGGGCTGGACTTCTCTTTCTCCTTCTTGGATGCCCGACGTTTGTAGGTCGAGCCTTTCAGGTCAAATTTCAGGTGCATTTTCACCACGCGAGGCAGAATGTTGTTCATCACGACCACGCGGATGTTTTTGCCCCCCGATTGCACACAGTACAGTCCATAAAACTTCGGCAGCAGCGTCCGTGGGTTCTGGTTCAGATTCTACAGCAGGGTTGGAAAAGAGCATGGGGAAAGGTCATTTTGGCAGAAGACTCCTGCTGTGTTCAACACAAAGCACTTTAACCGATCTTGGAGCAGTCAGACTAGGGACTCTTCACCTAGAGATTTTCTGACCTTCACATGAGAGCTTACTGTACACAAACTCTTGCATTTCAGTGGCTTTAGGACCTGAAAATACCACTATGCCTTGAATACAGGGAATGAGATGTTCAGCACTCTCTGGGCAACCAACCAAGTCCGGAAATTCCCTGCTTTCCCCATCAACAGCAGCTAAAAAAGGGAAACCAAACTGGAAGAGAAATAAACACAATAAGTGGGAACTTCAAGTTTAAAAATAACAGCTATCTTAATTTCTTCAGAAGTGTCAGAAATCAAGAGCCGTTCTCTGGCCCAGAATAAACCAGGGACACAGTATTTTTTTTAAACAAGACAATATCCATTTTCTCCTCCTTTTGCAGAGTTGCTTTATAAAACACCGTTGGCCAGGGAGTGCGGATATCCTGCTCTGCTATCATGTCCTTTTTTAGGCAGTGGTATTATTAGGATTGACATGACAAGCATGATTTGCTTGTTCAGCTTTGGGAAAATTTGGGAAGGAAACAGAACATCTCTGCACGCTACGCAAGGACGGACAGACCTGACAGCTTCTCTGACAGACGGCAGAAGCACGACTGTATTAAAATTTCACGCCCCTCCTCATCTCACCTAACTGGGCACACGAGTGAGCCCTCATTGTAAGTGCACTCTTCAACACGGTGCAAGACAAACGGAGAGTCAGGCAACACCGAACACAAACAGCACTTGCCCAGCTTTAAAGTATCTCAGGATGAAACCACTCTGCTTCCCTTCACTGGCTCCTTTTACCCACAAATATTGGAATGTTACAACAAGCAGCACATAACTCTGCAGCGGACAGGTAAGCTCAGTTTATTTGTTACAACTGATCAGGACAACTGCAGAATTCAGGATGACCGTGCAACTCCAAAGCCCTCCCCCTGATACATTACATACATTAGGCAATGCTTTCCAAGAAATCTCATCCTGTCGGGAACTTGGCTGCTGCTTGCAAAAGCCAGTGACTGGGTGTCAGTTATGCACAGACACCTGAGACTCTGTCTCACTTTGGCAAATTTTCCCCAGTAAATACTGAACAAGGCAAGTATTTTCATAAAAAAGTGTACGATCACATAACCCAAATCCACTGCAACGTGGACACGGATGGGGCAGCATTAACATGGCTTGCCATCACCTTGTCCTCGGCATCTCCCCGGCAATAAAATCTCTGGATGGTTCTAACTGCATTTCAGTGCCCTCATTTATAGAGCTGTACCCTTACTACAGTTATTCAGGGAGACAGCTCCTGGTAAATGCTGCAAAGTGTTAGGTTTGGTTCTGATTTACTACCTGTCACCACATGTAGGCCCTCTGGGTCTCAATACACTGCCTCACCAGCCCTGAGATTTAGGCAACAACGATCTGCAGCAGACTGGGTGTGCAAAGCTGGCTGGTACAGCAGGAGCCTTTCGCTTGGTACTGCAGCCAGTGGAAGCCAGGAAAACCAGCAGCTGCTGTCAGAGTAACTCTGGTAAACAGCAGAAATGGGAGATACCCAGGGACAGCAGCGGTTTCCCAAAAGAGGGCGCATTGCTGCAATGAACAGCCATCCTCAGAGCCAGGCTGAGGCAGACGCACTGTGCCAAGTGAAGAAGAGTGAAGTAGTGCTGGGAAAAGGACATCCCAAACCACACATCTGGAAAGCCATTTTTGGGCCCGAATGTGCCTGCCAGCTATGGCACAGTTTTCTGTCACAAGTTTACCCACAAAGCCTGCAAATAATTGGCAGGATTTGTGCTCCTGGGCCTGGCTTCGTGACACACTGTTAAGGCTGTCCCTGGCACAGGGCGGGCAGGCCACAAGGAACCCAGGCAGGGGACACGCTTTGTGCGATGCTTTGGACAGGAGAGCTGCCACAACAAACCCAAGTCTGGTCTGAGGTGCTGGGTGATACACACCATGTAGTAGCCGGGAAGGAGCTTCTGTAGGAATTCAGCTTCCTTGTGCATCACAGTTTTTATGATGAATTCATCGTCGCTGGTGACGTAGAAGAGGGAGCCACTGGCACCAGGGTTTGACAGCTCTATCAGAGGCTCGTTACATAATGAATACTAGAGAGGAAAAGAAAAGAAGATGATGTTTTTAGCCCCCACTCACAGCACATTGAGCCCTATGCCCATGAGGGCTTTCCCCAGCATGCTGTCTCCCTGCGAGATTAAGGGGTAGCAAAGCTCAAGTGAGAACTATTTTCATTATAGGTTAGGTCTAAGCAGCAAAGCTGACGGACAATTTACAATTAGAGACCAAGATGACAGTTCAGAGCATCCCAACTGCCCAGAGTCAAGCTAATCATCTGCTTTCAGTAACATCCAGCCTTTGTAACGACATCTTATCTTTTCCCGTTGTGCGTGTATGCGTGTATCACATTTAGGCTACTTTCAGCACATTACCGCAAGCGCAGACGGAAAGATAGGATTTTCAGAGACATGACAGTCTGCTCAGGGTACCACATATCACTGTGCTGGAGGGAACACAATGCACTGGCTGTTTTCAGCAGCCTCCTTTGGCCTTGTGCTCCCCCGTTACAGAGGTTTTTTTACAGCCACATCTCACCCTCACTCAATCCTGCTGGAAACACATGAAAAGTATTAGACCAGGTGTCCAAACAAGACGAGAGGAATCGGCACTGTGTAAGCACAGCAAGGGGTGCTGCATTGGGAACTGCATTGGGAGGGCATTTCTAGACATCAGTATGCAAACAGCAGGTCCTCAAATGAGGACATGCCTAGCAGCAGGGAGGGGGGAATAAAATAAGAAAGCACAAGCATGCACATGCACTTTGCAGCAGGGTACCAAGCCCAAGGTAACTGCGTGGGACGAGTGGGCTCAGGACAGCATCACCCCAGAGCTGCCACAGCAAGAGGGAAGGTGGGGAGAGGGAGATAAGGGATGCAAGGGACACGATCAGAGCAATAAATTAAATGCTCATCATTACGTACTGAAAACAGCTTTCAGCACTGCACAGATTAATGATCCAAGACTTTATCAAGTTAATTATCTCATGCATAATTAAAGGCATTTGCTGCTGTGGCAGGCAAGAGAGAATCAGGGGAAGCAGAGGCAAGAAATCAGAGCTGTGACCTTTGCAGTTGAGGCAGGCTCTTTGCCTCACCCAAATTTTGAGCCACTCATCAAATCAGCCAGCCTTATCTTGATGGCACAGATGGGGACCACTGTTACTGTCAAACCGTGCAATGGCACAGATTTGTTTCTACTTGCATGTGTTCAGCTATGATTACCCCCATCTACAGCTGAAGTCAGAAAAAAAGGGCTATTAAAAAAGGGGGAGGGCATGCACTTATTTGGATGCGTTCCCTTCCTTCCCCAGTTCAACAAATGTTCTGCTCTTTAGGAAAAGGACGTCACACAAATGCAAGGGACCAAATTCAACCCCAGCGCACTTAGAGCCCCAACAGCCTGTACTACTAGGTATCTTAAATAGTCTTTCCAGCTCTGAGGAGCTTTCTGAGCACAAGAACAAGCTGTATTTTATTCTGTCTTTGTAAGATGATTAAAATAACTACACTCACATAGCTCTCGAGTGAGTACACAAGGAAAAATTCCCATCTTTGTTCTCAGAGCCCCAGGGGACATTACAGGGTTGCACCCAGCAGAACACAACTCCTTTGGCTTGTAAACACAGTAAGTTATTGTCACCACAAGCAAGTGGGGGAACCCCACTGCACAGCTCTCACAGCACACACTGTGTGCAACCATTTCCTTTCCCTCCAGTGTAAGGCAGCAGCTCTTTGCAAATAAAGGCCTGGGCTGAGTGGTGCTGGTCTTGCTGGGACCATCACTGGGGCTGCTCCAAAACTGAACAGAGTCCCTCAATCCACAGCCTGTTCCCTCACCTTGCTAGGATCAGAACAATTCCTCAACTCTTTTCTGTCCCTTTTAGGCAAGAAATGCCAACAGCCTTGATTTACGGGCAAATTTCTTGTGTTACTCTAGACCATTTCAAATAAAGGAGGAAAGACAGAGAAATCCAAAAAGTATATCCATACCAAATAATCATCTGGACGAATCCCAAAGAGCTCTCGAAAGTACCGAAAAGCCACTGGTGCATAGGTCTTGAACCTGAAGTCAGCATAATGGTGAGCCGGGGTGAGGTTACTGCCTTCGCTGCACAGAACAGACATTACGTGAGCAGGGCCTCTATTTCCATTCACCAGATACGTACAGGCACATCAAGGCGACTGCGTATTTAAGATGAATTGAGCCTTGCAAAAAGACATCTTAGGAACAACAACAACAATCTTTCTTCTGTGGCAGGACAACAGGAAAATAGGCTTTAAATTAGCTGCCAAAATCTATTTCCAGAGTGCAAGGAACAATCACTTGCCAAGCAGAATATATTTACACAAAGAACATAGCTTTTATGAGCTTTGTTTCTTCACAGAGTTACAGAGCTCCCAGAATTAGTTTCTTCCATCTCAAACATGGTATAATTTTGAGGAAAAGATTCTAGATGGTCAGGTAGAAAGTAAAGCATGTAGGAAGGCTAACAAACTCAAGTACTGCATCTCACATCGTACCTCCTTGATACTGCAGAATCTAACACTTCCCACTGTCATGTTTGTATGTAATGGATGCGTATTTAAAACATTCAGAGCATCCAATTCCAGTTTAAAGACAGATAGAAGCTCTCCTGAAAAATCAGTGAGAGGAAAAGAAATAACTCATCCGTTCATTTTGTTTTCCCTGTCTCCTTTACCTTGGGAAAAAAATGCTCTCCACCACATAGAAGTCCTGCATCAGGACATCTCTCTCTGGCTTGGAGCTCAGATTGCCAACAGTATATCCAATCCCGAGCTGGATGGCCCCCTTCAGTGTGGATGAGGTGGTCTGGCAGAAAGAAAAGAGCAGTCAGTGAGCATCTCATAGCAGATAATTGCAGTAACATCCCCTAAATTACAATAGTCATGTCTGTGACTTCTGTGGGGTCATCTCGGGCACTACACACCGCTAAAGAAGTTCTACCAGCTGCTGAAGAGATGGATTAAGGCTCCCAGGTTTGTCGTTCGCAAGATTATGCAGTACAAGGGTGCTGCATAAAATCTAGATCAGATTGGTAGCTGTTGGACCCCAACATCTCAGGCTGCCACCCTCACATAGCTGTCAGTCCCCACTCCACAGAACCAGACCTTTTTGTAGGTGGTTTCACCAGAAGCATCAACGCTCCGATGACCTATCTTCTTTCCTTGGCCAGGCTGTCCTGGTAGTGACGGTCCCTGCAAGAAAAGAGCTCAGCTGAAGCCCAGAAGCTGACCTGGCCGACAAGAGCCAGCAGAGCAGCACAGGCACAGCCACACAATCACGGCTGTAAAGGACAGAGGGATCACTTTCTGCCACTGGAGAACAAACTGCAAACAGGTGTAATTGGCACCAGCAAGCTTCAAACAAGGCTGTTTGAATTATGCATTCATCCCTCAAGACAGGAAGAGTCAGAGTACTCAACCACTCCATCTGACACCCTCAGTATTAACTGGGCAGAGCCCTCAGCAGAGATGCTGAGCTCAGGAAAGATCCACTTGCTTCCCAGCTGCCTGCTTCCCCTACTGCTTGACTGCAGTTTCTCACTGAGTTAAAACAGCGATGTACTAAATCAAACAGCGAGAGAAGTTTATTCTTAAGAATCCCATGCCCTCAGGTGTCAGAGCAATACCTTGCGCTTCACTGGAGAAACAAGAGACAGAACAGAGACAACACAACCCCGCTCCTTTGTTCACATGGAGATAATTCATTTAAGCAAGACCTCATTGGTTTACAATTCAAAGCCCACACAGGGCAAAATGCAATAACAGCTCTTCCTGAAGTTTTGCAAAGGGCTTACAGAAGCATTAGAGGCCTGTCAGCACTGCAGAGGGAGAAGAAACTCACTCCTATCCCATTTTCCTCCTCTTCTACCTCAGAGTCTGCCTGGGCCTTTTTTTTTTGGCCAGTCCAGGAGAGAGCAGGTCATGGTTGCACCCTTTAACAAACCAGCATAACCATGTTCAATGCAGCTCCCTTTGCAAGCCCAAATGTAGGGCCTCTGTACTCTGCCACAAGGAAAGCACTGCCCACTCCCAGCTCTCCCACCACCCCACAGATGGCCAAAACCACCACCAGCGACATTCAGGGGTTTGGAACGTTAAAGAACAGCCAGGCTTTGGATGTCCCCTTAAGCAGCGTGCACAGAGACCCAAGGTCGTTTCCCAAATGACAATATTATATCAGTGTCTCTCAAGAGCGGCACAGAGCCATCTCTCAGAGCTGATGTCTACAGCAGACAACGTATAATTTTGTTCAGACTACAGAAGTTCTTTGTGTTTTAGCTTTTCATCAAGAGCTTGCAGCTATTTCTGGTCAAACTGCTTGTACTTCTGGTACCGAGGGGCAGTCTCATTTCTCCTTCAAAAAAACCTTATTTCCTACTCAGTTCTAAGCACTTAGCACAGCCAGGCTTCCTTCTGAGTGCTCCCTCTCCACGCAGTCACCGTTAGCAGCAAGGCTTATCCTTGCCTTGCAGCTTCCAACCAACAAGCTGGATCCTATTACACGCAAGCTCAAGCTGTATTGTCCTGCCTCACCACGTGGCTCATCACCACCATCATCCCCTCAAAGCAATTAACTGGCACAGGTACTGGTTAGGAGATTGCCATCAAATGAAATGCAGTAACAAAAGCCTCCTCCACAGCCCCTTGCTCTGTCTGTGACTGTACCCAGGGCAAGAAAAAGCGGGGCTATTTGTGCACTCAAAGCAACCAACTTGCACAGAAGTTGAGCTTCCTACTATGGGTATTTCTGGGGAGGCCAAAAGAACCAAGTGTCACGTTCCTGGCAGTTTTATGGGAAGATTTTGCTATTCGTGTATGCAAATGCTCATCATCCCAGGTGAGTAATGTAAAGGGATGTGTCAGAAAACCAGATCAAACAAAAATCAGTTGAACACGGCGCCCTAAACCGAGTGTGGGCTTCGGGGAACAGCTCTGAGGCACAGATCCTCCTACCAGATCCCCTGCTGCCAACTGCGAGTAGTTTTGCTGCAGAAGGTAACAGGGATTCAGCAACCTGCGACCTGGATTGAGCGTGAGGGAAGAGCAGTCCCTCGAGATCCTCCTGCTTCATGGCTTCACAAACCACAGCCTCCTTGACTCACTCCCAGGAGCCTGTGAGACTCAACACAGACCCTGGAGATGCCCAATACACAGATTCTCCGTTTATCACCTAAGTTCTGGTGCAGAAGAGGTGCCCTCAGCTGTTTACTCACAGACACTATGGAACATGCAGCTAAAACTGGCCACGTGGTGGGCACAACCCCATCACATCCCTTCTGTGGCTGTGGTGACGCCAACACAGGGACTCCAGAGACCTTCTAATAACGTCTTTCTCCCAAATAACAGATATCAAATTTTCAGTAATCTTAAATGTATTTTGATATCCAGTTTTGCTCAAAAAACTCAGGCAGAGGTGTTTTCTAGAGCTCTGTGTTCTCATTTCTCAAGATGGGATTTCCAAGGCCAGTTTTACACATCTCACCTCGGTGATGGCTGTCTTCTTTGGTGCCAGACCTGAGGAGAGAAGGGAAGAATATCAGTAAAAGTAGGGACATCAGAAAAAAACCCCAAATACTGTGAAAATAGCTTAATGTGTTGCTCTTTCAAGCAAGCTGGAAAGTCTTTAAAGCAGCTGGTTTTGCTCTGTTTTCAGTTTCACTAGCGCAGGGGTCCGAAGTTAGAGGGGTCACCCAAACAATTTAATATTCAGAAGCACAAAGATGCATCATTTTTCCTAGCACTAATGTTTCCTAGAGGCTTCGGTAGACAGAGTTCTTGTAAATCCTTGCTGCACCGTAAGTAATAGGTCCACACTACACTGAAGAGTTGGTGAGACACAGAAGCCCAGAGAGACACTTAGGAAGCTGCTTTCCAACCACTCAGAAGGCACTTGACAAACTATATTGATAATTGAATCTATTTATAGAGCCCAGTGTCCAAATCTATCGCAAAAATGAATGCATCATTTATCTCTACCACTGCCTTTGGGAGAAGCTACCATTACTCCATTACAGCGAGCAGTGAGAGATTAGGATTTTGCCTAAAGCTTTTACATACATAATCAGAGCTGCAAACATGGGCCCAAACCCTCCTCTAACATGAGGACATCTTTCTGTTTCCTAGAATTAGCCCAAGTCTGCAAGGAGTTCCTTATTTTTAGGCAATGGTGAGAACAGGCTCCTCCACTGACCTGCTGAGAGCCTGAGCTCCAGCCCAGCTGACTCCAGAGAGCCACCACGAACAAGCATCAGGAGCTGCTTATGAAGAGCTCCCTGTCCCATCCCATCCCAGCAGCACAACGTGCCCTGCCTGCCCCAACCACCTCTGCACGCAGAGCCCGGTTATTAGGAGAGGAGCCCGTGAGCAGAGAACAAACCCAAGCAATCGATTTAAGGCCATTTGTTCCCAGGTACGAGTCTGCCGCTCCCTGCTCCTGTCTGAAGTGTTCCTGCAAGCACAGATCGTTCAGCAACCCACAATCCTTTAGAAAGGGCTTTATTTCCAAGAGATCATTGAGCTTGAGAGTTTGGGCTGTGAAGGGCTCTTCCAACCCCTCAGCTTTTCCCTGCTTGAGGGCAACACATGGATTGCACAACCGCCTGCTGGTGTGCAGCTCCTTCAACTCGAGAGGGGTATCAACTTGGGGGGCAGTCCCTCTCCAGGGGGAGTGGGAGATGTCCAGCCCTCCCAGCTGGAGAGCAGGAAAAGCCCCAGAGGATCCAGCCCAACTGCATCCTGCCAAGGAGGAACGATGGTGGGATAACTGCTCAACCTCTTCAAATACAGGCAGCGATGGTTCAGGGCTTGTTTCAAAAGGAGCCTGAGCAAGAAGCTGGGTGTTACAGGAGCGTGACGCTCTTCAGCTGACAACAGTGCTAGGAGAGCCTGTGATGCAGTTATGTTTCAGGAAATATTTCAGACACCGGGAAGCAAAAAACCAACAATCCCACCAAAACCCCCTTGGTGGTCACAGGGGAGATGAAATTGCTCCAGATCGGAAGTGCTGAGGTTATCTCACCGTCCTGGTCTCAGCAAACTAGGGATCCTCTGGTGCAAAACAGGTCTTGTCACAGTGGCATTTTGATCCGTCTGCAATGCAACCACCCAGCCCGACAGCTTGGCCAGCGTTTGCAAAGCCACAGCGACATGGGAATATTCACTTCTTGCTTTGTTTTGGTTTAAATTGTGTTCTCTAGTGCCCGATTTCGCATCAGGAACAGAGTCACAGGACTGCAGCAAAAGTCTGAAATCCAGCTCCCTCCACGTGAGCTGCGTTGCACGACCCCAGCTCAAACAGGAACAGAGCAGCTCCCCTCTATCACCCATCCTCAGCCAAGGGGCCATCGCTGTGTGTGATGGGTGACGCAAAACCCGGTCACTCCCTCCAGCTCCTTGGGATTGCACCCAAAGGACCAGCAGGCACCTCAGAGGACCACCTCTAGCAAAAACTCCACGTCTTTTTGTGCTGAGAAATCAGTTCTTTGGCCTAAGAAAACACAGCTTTATGATCGTTCAAAAAGCCCCGCAACGGTCAGGGGAGCAGGAGATACAGCACTGAGCGAGTACTTGGCTAACGAAGAATCAGGGCACAAGCTGGAGCAACAGCTCGAGACCACAGAGGAACCTGAAGGGGCAGCTGCTGAGCACTGGGAATCGCTGGGAACACAACGCGGCCAGGAGGGCCCCAGGCCAGGGAGACCGCGCTCTGCCTGCTACGGCCCAGACCGCTCCCCTCCTGCACTAATCCCTTTCCTGCACTTTGTCACAATTCCAGAGCAGGAGATTATCTTTAATTTTGTGATAATTACCACAAGCTGCTTTCATTCCCAGCTTTTAAGTGTCTGCTGCTGTACACGTACCAAATGTGGAATCAACACCACTGCCCACGCAAAGGGAAGGTACCAGGGGCAAGGAACTGCAGACCTCCAGGAGAAACGATGCTTCAAGTGGGCAAGAGCATCACCAGCAAAACCTCCTTGCTCCTCCCCACGCAAAAAATATCGGCCTTATAAAATCAACTTATCTAGGCAGAAAATGGAAAATTCTCCCACTGGCTACTCAGTGCACGGCCCTTGGCTGCGCTCATCTCAAACAAGCTGACAGATGGCCTTGCAAAAACTGATTTAACTCCAGCTTCAGGGGTTATATGAGAGACAGCACTTGGGTTTGTGGGGAACAGGAGCTCTGCTGTGGGAAGTTTCAACATTTAACAAGCTAATCGAAATGATTCTTATCTGATTTCGTGCAGCTTAGAGAGGATGTATTCAAAAACGTGATGAATGGCTCTGGAAGAGGAACCCCGGAGGAAACCCCAGCTTTCTGCCCTGCCTCCAGCTCGTGCCTGGGTTCTGTACTGTGCTCCATGCACGCCTGACCTGCTGCCTTCAGTTCCTCTTCTCATCTGTGCGCAGCTTTGAGTCAATCCTATCCCAGCGCTCCAGCTCCTTCAGAGCCTCAGAAAAGAGCACTTCGGCTGTAGCATCCAGCAATTCTCTGATTTAACATCTATTTTTTTTCATACACTTCTCCATTCCCAGGCACAATCGGCTCGTCCATCCCTGCCAGGACACTGACACGCCACAGGACAGGGATGGAAAGCCCAGAAACCCTCTGCACGTTCACTGTCCGACACAAACAACTCTCAAGTTTTAGCTCTACAGTGCCAGAGCAGCCTGAACCTACATGAGAGAGCCCGTTTCTCCTCTAATGTGATATATTGAGTCAACAAATTGATGTTCAGGCCATTTTAGGCCCCTCACCCCACACTTACATACACTTCATGGGCTGACAGGAGGGCTCTCGCTTGCAAACAAACCCCTCATCGTTACCAGGTTCGTCAGGAGGCCTCTTCTGAACTCACAAAATTGTGCAGAGCTGGGATAGTGCAGTCCCCTCTGCTTCTGCAGTCACAGCCTCTCCAGATGCGTCAGCAAAATGCAAGTGAGGTCAGAAGTTAAGAAAGTGAAAAAAACCCATCACACCTTTAGGCTTTTAAAAGCAAACTTAATGAAAACCAGAAAATGCCACCCTTGCTGTCCACAACTTAGAATGAGTTTAAGTTAAAAAAAATAAGGTTCAAGTTTCATTCATGTGCAGAGAACAGGTTTTAAAAACTAATGAAGGGAGAGGAAAACTCACTCAGATCTTTCAAAACCAGCAAACCCCCTTTGTTATAAACACAAAAGGCTTCCATCCACTGAAGGGGAATCTCTTAAGAAAGTTTACAAATATCCAGCAGAAGCCTCGTTAAAGATCTAATAAAGAAGTCTTCTGCATAAGACACACAGATGTATTTATAAATGTGAAGTATTTGATGCTTTATGATGAAGTCAAAGCAAATTTGAATAACCTGTAAATTTATCTGGACTCCTTTCTCCAGTCAGAGATGGTGCTGCATCCTTAATAAAAGCTTAACTTTAATAAAGTGTTTACCAGGAGATGTACAACGTGACTGCAACATCATGTTAGAATATAAACACCAGGTAAGCTCTTCAGCTGGGGACGGCACCACCGCCACCCCTCCAGAAATGCACCGCACAGACTCGCGCTTTGCCACTCGTTCTCAGTCAGGGCAGTAGCAACTGCAACCAAACACAGTCGTTCCCAAAGTACAGCTCTCCAGAAGTGCTGGACCAGCAGTTTATTGTTGTGTTTTGGTTTGGTTTTTATTATTTTGTGGGTTTTTTGTTCTTTTTTTTAAACTACTGAGCTGACAGCAGCCTTTGCACAATTGACATTTAATACTAACCCAACGTAATCTGCTAGAAAGCTGTGAAATTCTGACAGGTCACACACACCGAAGGAGATCTAGCCCTACTTTTACACTTATTTGGTCAAGAACAAGCCAACATGACACACCTGAGCCACTCATGTAGCAGAGAAGAGGAGGTGAGGACTGCAACCAGGACACTACGATGTGTTGTTCGATCAGACCACCCGAAATGCTGGCCAATGCATTGTGTGCAAAAGCATTAAGAAACAGAGCGCTAAGACACAAACTGTGAAAGTTAAGGGCTATGCACATGTAGCAGATGTGTTGCAATAGAAATAGAGAGAGAAATGCTGGAAATGAAACATCCCTCAAAACAGACAGCTTTTACTTCCCGTGAGGGACTGCTGATAAAAAGAAATTAAAATTAAGGGGATTGCAGGGGAAGGCAGCAATTCAGAGGAGATGCCAGAAAGCACATCTCGGCTGAGAAGCTGCATCCCAACCAGCGCGGGCAGAAGCCAGCATGAGCACCAGGCCATTCCAAAAGGGAAAGGCAGAGAGCAGCCTCCAAATTTCTTCTCACACTCCAAATGTGCAGCTTCAGCTCCCAGCGCGTGGGACAAGGAGCCCAGGGCGGTCATGAGGAGGAGACACAACAGGGAGCAACAGCCAGACTCTTGGCAACCTCCTGGAGCAGGCAGCTACTCAGAACCTGCCCTTCCCAGGCACGCAGGATGACCTACTTCTGACCATTAAACACGGCTTCTTCCCATTAAACACCATTTGATTAGGATGGGAAACA